GGGTCGCGCCTCCAGCCACTGGGGTTCCGCCATTTTAGGCTCCCTCAGGCTGCTGCCCGTGAGCCCTGCTCCCCTCTGACAGGCTCTGAAGGTCTCCGTATGTCTGTTTTAGTATTTTTTCTGTGCTGTTTGTCTTCAGTGACGAGCAAAACCATAAGTGTTGACCTGGTGTGATAGTAATATGTGTATTTTTGTTTATTTTAAAACCGGGTGTAAGTGAGTCGGTGAGCGGGGGGCCCTGAGGCTGCAGCACGGTCATGAGCCAGGCCCCTGCCTGGAGGCTGGGATGTGTTTGCTCACATTTACACCATGTAGAAATGCAGATTGGGCTGGAAAACAGTTGTTGAAGCTGTCTAAAATGAAACTTGAGAGCAGACAAAAAAATTTATTCGTGTGGGTAACCAGAAGGCTGCTCCTCAGGCTCGCTGCCTTCCCGCCTTTTTTTACACGCAGCCCTGTGCATGTGTGAGGTGGTTGCTTCCTCAGCTTTGGTTTTCAGCAACTTTTTGGGGGTTATTCATTTTTATAGATTAATCCTTAACTTCTCTGAAGTTCAGTTTGTTAATCTGACAGCTGCTAGGCGATGTGAAACACCGTGAGGGGGAGAGCGTTTTGTTGTCAGCCATTTGGTTTTGGAGGCTGAGCTCTGGGAAGGCAGTGTCATAGTCAGAGGGATTCCTCAAAAATCCCCATCCCTCACGGGCAGAGGGATCCCTCAAAAATCCCCATCCCTCACGGTCAGAGGGATTCCTCAAAAATCCCCATCCCTCAGGTCAGAGGGATCCCTCAAAAATCCCCATCCTTCACGGTCAGAGGGATTCCTCAAAAATCCCCATCCCTCACAGGCAGAGGGATCCCTCAAAAATCCCCATCCCTCACGGTCAGAGGGATTCCTCAAAAATCCCCATCCCTCACGGTCAGAGGGATCCCTCAAAAATCCCCATCCCTCACGGTCAGAGGGATTCCTCAAAAATCCCCATCCCTCACGGTCAGAGGGATCCCTCAAAAATCCCCATCCCTCACGGTCAGAGGGATCCCTCAAAAATCCCCATCCCTCACGGTCAGAGGGATTCCTCAAAAATAAATATCCTTTCCTGTATGCTGCAAGAAATAACCACATCTGTTGTGATAGGAGTGAGTGTAGTACAGATGCCTACACGTAACTAATTTCTGTGGGGCTTTTTTAAGGGAAGGGTTTATGCCAATGAGGGATTTTTTTTTGCTGCTGTTCTCTCTTACAGCTAGGTAATTATCTTCAATTAGGTAGGGGTTCATCTGTGCTAAGCCAGATGTTTTCGTTTTCAATAATTTTTTAGGGATGTATTTTTAAAAATTATATTTTAGGAAAAGCTGTGATTTTTTTTAAAAAGAGCTTGACTCTTTAAAAATATAAATGAGTGAAAAAAGCTAATTTTTCGACATTTGGTGCCAAGCTGTCTAGCAGCTCTAATGTGTTCTGTCAAGCCAAAGACTTATTTTTAGCCCGAGTCTGTTATGCACGTTGTTGTAACAGGCACTTGATGAGACTGTTTTCTTTGTTTATAGATGAGGTCTTGTCCGAAAACTTCTTGGACTACAAGAACCGTGGCGTCAATGGCTCTCACCGTGGTCAGATTATCTGGAAGATTGATGCCAGCTCTTACTTTGTGGAGCGTAAGTATTTTTCTAATCCTGCTATGGTATAATTCAGTCACTGCAGAAAGATAATTGAACTGTTTAATTTGTTCTTGTGATGTTTTTACATCTAATATGTCCTTTAGGAAAGGCCAAAAGTGTTACCAAGATCTTTGAATGTGTTGAGGGGAACTGAAACAATTTATGGAGCAGAAAACTACAGTTTCTGCAAGGAAATAAATTTTGTTGACATTGACTTGTTTATTTTTGATACAGTTATGAATAAATGTTTTAATCCATTTGCTGTTATTTGGACTATATAATCAGTAAAGAGCTGTATTAACTTTAATATGATATTAAGAAAAAGAGAAACTCGGGGGTATAATCTCCCTCCAGGAAGATTCATACTGGGTTTTAATTGGAAAACTTCATGGTGCATCCAGCTTCCACCAGATTCAGGTGGATTCAGAGGTAAAAAGCGTTGAGTTCTGATCGTTACCTTGACTGATAAAAGTGTAACAATATGTAGTTGCAGCAAGGTACTCTGATTTTAAGTTCATTGTTCCTCATTATATTCATATATTTCCCAGGGCATCTGATGCAATGCAGCGTAACTCTTTTCCACCCACCTTAGCAAACAAAATACAGAAACACTGAATTTGCTTCTGCAAAGTACTGTGTACGTTATACCGCAAGCTAACATTGCCAGGCTTGACTGTGCCACATCCCTGACCAAAGTGATCCTGACCATTTGAGTCCTTCTTTTTTTTTGAAGAGTTACTGAGTGCTAGTGTGAATGGAATTCATGTTCTTTGCAGAACACAAACAGGGTACTTAAAAGACTGAACTGAGCTCTATAGCAAAACATTTGTGGTGAAAGAGCTACGTGCTCTTAAGGAGGAGTTAAGCGTGAAGAAACCTAGCATGCAATAATTAAAGTTTTTAAATTGTGCTGAATGTTTCCAATCTACCTTAGCCTGCTGGGCAAAACTCCAAAGTTTTGTAAAAGCACATATAAATTGCATGACACTTAGGTATATCTGTTTAAGACTGTCTGAATTTGAGTGCAGTCAAGGGAATCTTTGATATAACCTAAATTCTAAAGGATTTGGAAAGGATATGAGTTATATTTGATTAGATTAAAAGATGACTTTGACCTTAAGTATCTGGTATCAGAAGGATGCTACATGCAGACATTTTACCCATTTCTAGGGCTTGAGTATCTGTTATCTCTTTGCAGTATGAAGCATTGCTGGTGGTCTGTAATTTCTAGTGTTAAGTTAAATTGAGAGTGTTGTTCTAAAGAATTAAGGGAGCTGCTGAAATGTCTACAGGACACAAAGGATCCTTATATTCTGTGTTTTGAAAAATACATTAATGGCAAATTGTTGAATTGATAAGAACTTTGGGTTTAGTTATCCTGGTTTGGGGGCAGAAATATATTACAGGATCTAACCTTCAAAGCAGGCTCTAATTTGCAGCAGCTTTTTGTGAGCTGTGGTTAGTGATCTGTGAGATTGATCATGCTTTCTTGTAGCTGTTAAAGAAGTGTGGGGAGGGGGAGGAGATATAAAATCCCAGAACTGGCTTTTGAAGAGTCCTTATTACCTCATTTGATTGAGGAAGGATGGAAGTGGGACTAGGCTACCAGTAGCTTTCCTGCCTAATCCACAACAGAAAAGAAAGAGGCAATGTGAGAAATCCTGAGGAGAAAGCCTCTTCAGGTAGGCTGCATTTCATCAAGGGCTCAACTACACAATGAATTATGTCAGCTTAATAAGTTGCCCCCATTAGCTGAGATATATTAGCTGTTTTTAATTGATTGCACGTACATTCTTCACTTGCCCTACTGTAAGAAAATGCAACTTAGCATAACCGTCCTTTACTGATGCGAAAAGTTAAGTCGACTACGCCGTAGCTGGGCAGCCCAAGCTTGATGAGTTGCTGCCTCTTGGTGATTTGTTATGCTGCCATTGCAAGGTTGTGAATTGCAGCCCTGAGATTATGTACCAGTGCACTCATCAAGGACAAATCATTGCCCTGTCCAGAATTAAAATAGGAGAAAATGAAGCATGCAGTAGTAAATAACGGCGCATGCAGATACTCTTAAAGCCACTTGACTACTGAAGTGGGAAGTTAAAGCGGTGACAGATGTTGATAAATGTGAATTTTATGTATCTGAAGGTGTATTTGGGGGTTCCTGCTCATTGTTGAGACTTGTATACAAAAGTACACAGCTTTGCAGTTGATTCAATGTTATTTTAAAAACTGCAGTGTCTGAAAACCTCATGTATTTTCTATCCCAAGAGGATGGAGTAAACCACCTTCCTTCAGACTTTTATTTTTTTGGACAGAGGTCATCTCTTCCTTTTATGTTCCACAGTGTGCAATATGGTGACATTTGCAGGAATCATGTCATCAAAACCAAACTCGCCTAAGAAATCTCTTTCCTTTTTCTTACTATTCACTACTGAACTGAGAGAACCTGGAGGACAGGGCAAGGGTATGTTCAGTGGTAACGTGGTGGAAGAATTGCCACGTTGGTCCAAAGTTAACCTGACCTAGTGTCCTGTCTCCAAAATGGCCAATAGTGTGGACTTGAAGAGGGTATAAAGGTAAGTGTTAATGAGTCTTCTAGCTTGGAGCGTTCTTAGCTTCTGTTCATCAGCTCAGGTACTTCCTGAGACAGGTAGTCTTTTTATTTAGTGGTTGTCAAAGCATACAGTAGGTAGCTAAGCATTTTAAATTTATTTTCAAGGTATCACTATTGTTTTTCTATGCATGTTGTTATACTTCCCTAACCTACTGTTGATTGGAGTCTCACTGATTTTAGCATTAATTCTCTGTAAAACAAAGTAGCTCACTCGCAAAGGCAGCCCTTAATTTCTGCTTTTGCTTCTCCTGTAACTCTGTACCTTGGTATGTGTTCAGCAATTTATCAGTTTCAGAAAATGTTATGGTATACACCGCAGTGTTTGTCCCATCATAGCTGGCAGGAGCCAGATAAAGGGGAAATCACAGTGTGGCCAAATAAAGAATCAGCCATACCTAGAGATTTTCAGGTTCCCAAGAACTTAAGGCACCCTATGCAGACTGGTTTGGTTCCTGTTCCTGAAACGTATGAAGATTTAACATTTTTGGTGGTGCTGTTATATGAGGTAAAATAGGCTTCTTACTGGGGGCCATGGGGATCATCATGGCCAACTTCAGAAGTCAAAGGTGGTTTTTGCTAACAGTTAAGACTTTAGGACTCCCCATGGAGTGTTTTATAAGGAAAAACGAATTTTCCACATTTAAGGAAATTACCCTTATGCTGTGACCAGCCAACCACTTGACATGAAGAGCTTAAAAAAACATTTTCAAACTTTTTTTTCATTAAAGAATTAGATGAGGGGACTTCTAAAAATCAAAGTTATTAACAATTGACTGATTTGCAACAGTGAAATTCCATTAATATGAAAAACAAAAGTGTTAGGAATGAGGTAAAGTAAATAGAGAGATATTACTCATTTTCTGGTGTTTTGAATCTGGAGGTGTACATAATGTGTTTGGGAATATTTTGTTCCAAAGCCTTCATTTTCCCTAATTAGTTATCCTTTATTTCCTGTGTTTTTAAAAATCAACAAGCAAATGAAATACGACATTTTAACGATGTAACCCATAGTTATTATACATAAACCCACTATTTAGGTACTTAACAAGAAAACTGACAGCTAATTGCTGTAGATAGTAATTTGCAGGCAATGGTCTGGGACCTGGAATAGGAGTGAGCGAAGGCAAAAGTGGCTGGAAGTTATTTTGGTCATGGTGGCAGATGATTGCAGCACAAATCTTGGGCTGGACGCAGCTGTAATGATAATTACTGGCAAAACCCATCAGCCTGGAGGACCACACTCCTCAGAAATCGTGCACACACTGCCTCTGTGGGCAGAAGAAATGAGCAGTGTTGGGAGAGATTTGTAGGAGTGCATCAGCAGTGGAGAACACCAAGGAAAGCACGGCAAGAAATTGAAACAATTTTTTGTGTTAACTGCACTTCTTGTAGTTTTATAAAACTGAAATTGTGCAATTTCAAATGCTTCTTGGTTGTTTAAGCTGTACTTTCATGGTATTCTCAGTACCTTGTCCAGTCTGAGTCACTAAGGGTTGCTTTTTCAGAGAGATTCAAAAATCTCACTAGGTTAAGAAAATGCTTTTTGTGCAGTAGGTCAATGACAATGCAAAATAGTTTTCTTTTTTTGGGAACATGCTTCTGTGTTTTGTGGGTATTTGGGTAAAATACATGTTGCTTTTAAATTTGCTGATAGCCTGGTTTGAGATGATCTAGACAGCCCTATGACTTCAAAACAAAGATAGTTTCCTAACATGTATCCATAGAGCATTTTCAGATACCACAGACATTTAAAGTTTGTTTGTTTTAGTGATCTACTTTTTCACCTTGAAAAGGACTTTCATATCTTTCCTAGAGAAGTGTGTGCCTTCCCACTTTGCATATCACAAATCTGCAACATAATATTACCAGACAGATATGTAATTGGTGTGAGACAGAGAGGGAATTGCCTCCAAATTACAGCACCAATGCCTGCAGAACAGAACTCATCTCCTGTTCCTACCCAGCAAACAAAAACCTCGAACAGCTGCAGAGGCGATGCTGTGCTACGGCCAGTTCTGCATTTCTACAGAAATCTAGCAGTTTGGGGGTTTGTGATAAACAGTAACCATCCGCTGGAACCATGACATGGCTGGGCTTTGGGGAGAGAGGGGGGAGGAGGAGGGGGGAGAGGGAACGTGCTGCTAGGGATGTACACTTTGTGTTAAGGCTTGGAGGACACTGCAGGGAAGGAACCAGCCTGTAATGGGTTTTCCAGGAAAGTAAATGTGCTGTGCTTCACTGCCATTGCTGGCACGCTGTTCTGGCTTATGCAGCAATACAGAGACTGTGCAAGAGACTCTCACCGAGGTGCGATGCAGCATTTTTCTGTAAGCACAGCAGCAAGCTAGCACATCCTTAAGATGACAAGAAAAGTTTTGCCATCATT